GCTTCTATTTAAGGCTGGTATTATATCAACCCACCTGCTTCCAGAAGAGAGAGAGAGAAAAAATCAGAATCACTCAACCTGCAGATTGCTGTCAGCTTGTGATTCTGTGAACGGGAAGTCTTAACGTTTAAAGTGTTATGTGAGATAGGCTGGAAGGTGTTTTTTTTAAAAAGCAATTTCCAGTTTAACAATTACCCAAGAATTTCTGAGTACCAATGAAAAAAGACTAATCCCTGGAGAGAGCCTTCATTGATGAGGTATGACAGCAGCTAGGAGGTGACATCGGTGAGTAAGGCAGAGCTGGAGAATGAGGGATCATTTCGATTGTGGGCTCAGGAAAGGAGGCAGGAGTGTGAGGGAATACCAAAGCTTTCCTCTCTCTGTGGGCTCTCTCAGGGGAGTCTGTTGTCCTGGGTCTCTTCCTGCTTCCTGTTCAGGATGTTCTCCAGGGAGATGCGGTGCGGGGAGGGAGAAGAGGATTAAGGACCTTGGCAAGCTGCAGAAGGGCAGTCTGGGGCACATGCAAGGTTTTCTTGAAGAGATTCTCATATTTTGAAAGGGGAACATCAGCTCCAGGTCTGTTTTAGAAAAATAAACCTTTTACAAACTCCTTAATCATGTCTTTTTCTTTTTCTTTTTGACGCAAACATTTTATCCTAGGCAATCTGTTGAAAAGCTCCCACAAAATAAGCAGTTTTCATTCTCTAACATTTTTTGAGAAAATATGCAGCTACATTTACTGCTCCTGAAACAGACAAACCAACTTCAGATTTGAAAACCTGCCATTAATTGTTGACTTAAAACATAGTTTACTTGGCTAAATCTTGCAAGTCTAGACTGAAGCCTGGACCCAGTTTTGTTAGGTAACACCGCTAAATATCATGGCTAATCAACCATCATTCGAGCATGTGGACCTAGGTGGTGAAGCTCTCCCTTCCCTGGGGTCCTACTTGTCCTGGAGTGAGAATGAGCAGGCTCTCTTGGGAATGGCTTTTGAAGGAATTAACGGGAGAACAACTGAGAGATTCATGTCAAGTGTTTGCCAAACTACCAGGAAACACCCTCTGTTCCCTCACCAGAGCATACAATTCTGAAATCTTCAAGTGAGATAGGATTTCATTCCTTAAGGCTTTCCACACACAAAGGCTGAATAACTCCCAAGCTCCTCAATCAGAAAATATGAAGAATTTTAGCAGAAAGGATGAAGCTCCCAAAGCCAGTGGTGGAAAGTCAATGGAAATAACCACGTACATGATGCACTAGCCTAATGAGGCATGTTTCTAGGACCTAATACCAGTAATAAAGATGATAAATCTTTACCTAAGGACTGAATAGAATGACTAGCTTTGGCTTACAGGTTTTGTTACTAGGTTCAAAAACCACAGAATCTATTTGGAATAGCTCATGTGAGCTATAAAGGTGACCAGGACATAAGGAATAGGGATAAAAAAGACACAGATGAAAGTTAAAGAAGACCATAATCTTTGATACTTCTTCAGTTAGAAGATAATAACTATAAAATTAAGTTTTGGAAATAGGATTAAAATGGATCCAAGATTCACTCTGCAACCTTTCTTTAAACCCTTGATGTATCTTTCTGTCAAGCCGTAGCTTTCTAAGCTGAAAATGATGAATTTTTTCTTTCCTAGAAAGCCTCAAGACATATTCCATGTTGTTGAACAGCTTCTGAGCACAGTCCCTGAAGTTAGAACAAATGTCTTGACATAGAGATGAAGGGAGACCTGGAAGGGTAAGTTAAATTACATGGGGCTCTACTCAATGTTCCTTCGAGATCACATCCTCTCTTTTGCAGTTTCTAATATGTATTTGTTCCTACTTGCGTCATGGAAAATGACAAAAGTCAAGCTTCAATGTAGATGAGATTTAAATAATCTTTTAAAAAAAAGTCATAGAAGACTGTAACTTCCGGGCTGCTCTGAGAACTGAGGAGAGCAGAATATTTGACAGAATAATGAAATACGAATCCACCTTCAACATTGTAGGGCAAATCCTGAATGCCTTTGTGCTACTGTGATGTTGTTGGTGACAAGCAAAGTTTCTGAGAAACTTGAGCAAAACCAGAGTTCTGACAAATGTCCTCAGGAACTAGGACGCCCAAGTCTTGGCTATTCTTGTTTACATTTTCAAACTTTGAGAATATTTGAAAGGCTTATAATTATAAGTGCAATGAAAATGGAAAGAGGTTAAACAAAGTGAGTAATATGAGAATTTGGAAAAGTAGAACTCCCTTGCCAGGAACACATTAGGCCAAATCATTTGGTGAGTTGCCATACTCTAATAACAGGTATATCAGACATTTGGGGACCTGGATCAAGTCTCTCAGACTATTAGGGCTCTAGTCAGGGAATTTTTGCTTCAAGAGATTTAATACCTAGAGAGAAAATACTTTTCTGAAAATGCTTAATGCACATATTCAGAGAACTGGTCAACCCAGAACTAAATGCTGAGCCAAACCAACTGCATTTCTTCTTAGGATACTTTGAGAAAAATCCTCTGGGAAGAAGATGACTCAGAGATGACTGCTAAAGGGAAACTTTGGCCCATGTGTTGCTCGGAGCTGTTGTTCTCTACCATGGTCTAGGATGATCTAAGCAAGAAGTAATCTGAAGCCATAAGGGAAAATTCCCTTTGTGAAACTCAGTACGAGAGCCCCAGAACTACAGTCAATGGAACCCAAGATCAGAGCTTTGTAGACGTAAAAAGGAACCTAAGATCTGTACCAATAGTGAGAATGTAGAAAATTAAGTGGCCATTCAATTAACTGTAAGTCCATTACTATGATGCTTCGGGAGAAAGTAGTAGTCTCCTAGCGATATCTGGCCAATATATTTTTATGATCAGATCACTTATGCAGGTGGTGTATATTTTGCAATCTGTTGGGGACCAATTCAAATAGTAATTTTACTCTTATTAGGAACACTGGGTTTAGAAACACTTCTGAAGAGTACTACTTTAGTCTAGTGTTGACCAAACTGGGTTCTATGGAAGTCTACTTTTTCAAGGTGTTAACAGTTACATCATAAAAAGAAGTGCTTCAGGCTCAACTAAATTAGAGAAATCTCAGGGTAAATAATATTAAGCTGAATTCTTGTTTACAGGACTTTTCAGCAGATTTATTAGGCTCATATGGATTTTGAATCTCCAAGAGGTGGTTACAGAATGCAGCATTTTCCCAACTTATTTGTCTATGGGACTCTTTTTTGGAAGAATGCTTATTAATATTTTAAACACCTGTTGTTCCACGGATCAGAGTATGGAAATGCAATCTTTCTCTTCCAATGGAATAATAACTAAATCTTTTAACTAAATCTTTTCATGGATGGGTTAACTTTAATCCACTTTCATTTGACTAAGATGTTTCTGGTGAATTTTTATTTTCACAGAAAATAGCAGTTAGAATCACAAAGCCCTTTTATTAATTGCTGTCTCTCTTATTTTTGTTGTTGTTTATCTTGGACAATTAGTGAAGTCCTCCACAAAATGTTACAAAATAAAGTATTTTCTATTAACTTTTGCAAGAGTCTCTCTCCACTTTGTGTTCTTTTTTAAATTTGGAAGACCCCATTCCATTTGTACACAAGTTGGAAATGTGATAAAATTTACAGCAGATCTTGATTTGTATTGTTAGATATAAACAAGGTAATTGCCACAAGTAGGAAATGAATTTCTCAAAGATCTATGATAATCACTAGGAAAGTCAAATGAAAAATGACTCAAACAGGCAATTCTTCAATCTTTCTGTCTCATTTTTCACCCTTTGTTAAGGGAGAAATGGGCGTAACTGTGCGATTGCCTGATAGGCAAAACAGTTTCTGGAACTGTCACTTTTTTATTAGGCTCAATTTAATTTTACTGAAGTTCCTCAAAATTTCAAATACTGAAAAAAGAAGCCAGCTTTTGGAAAGTTAAACCCCCAATCTGATATGTCAAAAACAGACCCAGGAGACCTTCTGCTCCATCTTACATGCTCTCCAAAAGCGGGCTCATTTTCCGGTCCCTCTCAAAATGTGTAAAGTGTAGAAATTTCACATCTGACCTATGCTGCTTAAATATATCACACTTCATGAATACACTCCATAGTCAATTCTTTCTCAGATCATACAAATAAATGCTTTGAAAGCCATTCACTCAACAAATGGAATGGAATTTGGCCAAATGGAATTTTGTCTCATTTGAACCAGATCGTTGATGGTAATGGCATGATGCCATCTTTTAAAAAACTATAATGTTTTAACTTTGAGTAACAATCATTAATACAAACTAAATTGGGCAAATACCCTTGGGTCAGAGGAGTAAATGTGTCAGCACAATTTAACATATTTATAGGGGTGTAATCTCAGCTTTCCTCCGTAGAGAAAAAAAATCAGTAAGTGCTTTTTAATCCTCCTTGTTTCTCCTCACTTCTTTAAAAACAAGACAGATTCCTCTTTTCTGCACAAGATAATTTTCAAAATAAAAACCAATATCTACTTGGTAAGGAAGCAGGGAGAAACCCCGAAACTGCCCATTCAAGGTAACACTGTGCGGATAGTATTTAAATAGACAACATCAGAGCAGCAGGAGCCGGGTGTTTCCATTGAGTGGGAGCAGTCCAGCCTTCAGACGGCTACCACTTTCTACACAGATCTGTAGTTGGATTAACATCATGTGTGTATGGATCGCCCTGGTTTGTGGTGGTATCTGAGAGAAACTCCTTATCCAGAGAGCTTTTAAAAATCTGAGTTCTTGATCTCGGCTACGAGGTGAATATAACCCTATGAGCATATGTAACGATTACATCCTCTTCCATTTTTTATTAACCCATTAGTAGCAACGGATGAAAGTAAAACCAAGCTGTGGTTAAATGGACTGTTTTCATCATTAACACCTACCTTGCATTTTACAGGTATAACTAGTGGTGCGCCACCTTCTGGAGAAACCGAGGGCTTTGTTACAGTAAACTGGTCCAGTGTGATATTACAAGTATAAAAAATATTCCATTCTGTATCAAAACTAGGCACATGCCTTTATTTATAGTAACAGAAGTTAACACAGTTGAGCAGTTTTGCCTTGGGTCCTGTTTTCTCGGCATCCTACATCGGACAAATGCAACTTTCAACACATCTCTGCCCATAACTCCAGGGATCTAGTCTCAGGGTTATCTGCATGTAAAGGAAGGTGAAATCACACATGGATCTATAGTGGAGAGTAACTAAAAGCATAACCTCTCATTCATATTGCTTTAAAACATATACAGCATATATGTTTCAAAAAAAAAAGAAGAGTAAAGAATATATTAATTTCTTTGTGGTGTTGAACCAACAATATGGTATGATGCAAGGCTTTAACAAATGATAATCATAGATACAAATTTTTCTGTAGAATATGTTTTAGACAAATGTGTCTTTTTAATATGTAAATCCTACATTGTAGGTTCTTCCTTTTTATTTTTTCTTTTGTTTTTGCAGTGGTAGAAAATGTTGAATAACTGTCCATGAGCATGAGTCAAAGGTTCAGGTCATTACTGAGATCCCCAGAATGCCAATATTTGCAATGCAAACAATTAGTATCCCACTGTGTGAAGGGCTCTGACACGTGCCTGCCTGCCTCTCGGTGGAGAGTTTCCATAAGAAGTCCTCCTGCTTCCATGGACCCTGCTTTGACACAGGGGCAGCTGCACTAAGCTGCCTTTTAATCTAGGAATTTACTGTGCCAGGCTGTCTTACTGGTTACCAACAATGACACAGAAACAATAGTGTGAGTGGTAGACCCTCAAATCATTTTCATGTTGAACCTCCTGGGTCCAGCCACCTCCCCTTCCACAACAGCACCATTGTTTTTTCGGGGCACATACTCAAGGTCAATGCTGTTTTTGTGCTTGCCTTTCCCTCGGCTCCACACAAAAAGGAGGAGAAAACAAAATAAAACCACTCCCAGGAATGTGAAACAGCCCATGGCTGTAGACACTAGTATTGTTTTAAGGTCCAGGGAAAAAGTATTGGCATTGGTGCCATTGGAAATGGTGTCATTGGAGTCGGTCATGTACATTGGGGTCCTGTTCGCATAGAGGAAGCGGTCTGAAGCGAATCCTTTCACAGTTAAGGAGGCTGTGAAGGTGTCATTCCCAGCAGCGTTGCTAGCAATGCAAACATACATCCCACTGTCTTGATCCTGGGCAAAGCGGATTTCCAAGGTGCCATCGCCCAAGACAGTGGCTCTTCCATTGGACTTGGTGGTGATAAAACGCCTTCGAGGGGTCACCCAGGAAATCACAGGCTGAGGGTCTCCATCAGCGCTGCATTCTAACTGGACCGTCTGCCCTTCATCCACTAGCAGATGCTGCAACTTCTTGTCACGGATTTTGGGTTTTTTGCAGGTAAAGTAAAAAGAAAGGGCAGTGCTATGGAAATCCTTGAATGACCTCTCACGAATGGTGTCTGGGCCAGCACACATGGGCTGCTGGCCGCCAAACTGCAGAGTGGGATGCCGCTGCAGGATCCAGAGGAGACGGCAGTCACAGGCCAGAGGGTTGTTATTAATACTCAGGACCTCCAAAGCCCTAGGGGAGGAGAAGACATTCTCTTCCAAAGTTTCCAGTAGGTTCTGAGACACATTGAGCACACGAAGGAAGCGGAGCCCTTGGAAGGAGTGAGGCTCAATGGTGCGGAGCTGGGCCCCCACTATATGAAGCTCCTGAAGGCGGATCAGGTCAGAGAACATGCCTGCTTCAATAGTGCTGATGGGATTGTAGGAGAGGTTAAGGTGGGTCAGATATACCAGGTGTTTAAAGGCAAGGAAGGGTACAGTAGACAGGTTGGTATTGGTGATCGAGAGGGATGTGAGGTTGAGACCATATAGGCTATTGGCAGGCATCATATCCAGTAAAGGCCAATAGTCAATCTCTAGGTGTTTCAGGTGGAACAATCTTTTAAAGGCATACACGGGCATATTGTTGATATTGAGATGTTTCAGATGCAGGCTGATGAGGCTGCGGAGGTGGGAGAGGGCTTCTGTTGGTACTGCTGTTAGGTTGCATTTCTCCAGGGTGAGTTGCTCCAAGCTAAGCAACCCACTGAAGGCCCTGTGTGATATATAAACCAAATCATTGTCTCCCACTTCTAGAGACTTCAGGTTATGCAGATCTTGGAACATGTAGTCCAGTAAAATGACAATCTTATTCTCACTAATGTCAAGCTTGGTGAGGTTGGATAGCCCTGTGAATACCCCCAATGGGACCAACTTCAAGCGATTGCCTTTTAGGCGGAGGGAACGCAGGTTGAAGAGATTGTTAAATGCTCCTGGCTCCACATTGGCAATGATGTTGTCACTCAAGTCTATCTCCTCCAGCAGAGGATATGATATGAATTCTTCAGGGTTGACGCTTTTTAGTCTATTCTTGCTGAGGTCCAAGATTTTGGTCTCAATGGGAATGCCCTCTGGGATGGCGATCAACCGCCTTCTGTGGCAGCTAACAGATTTGTTCTGGGCAGAGCACTCGCAGCGAGCAGGGCAGCCAATGGTGGATCCCATGAAGATTAACACCACAGCCAGACCCAGGAATGGCTGCCAACATGATGTGGCCGTGTGAAGCATGACTCCACTTCTTAGTCTACACCTTGGTCACGGGTCTGCAGGAGAAGGGGCAAAAGAGGGCAGGAAGAGAAGTTGAGTTAGGACATAGATAAGTAAAAGGACATGAATAAGACAGCAAGGACAATGGAAAGGACCCTGGATTTGGAAGCACACAGATCTGGGCATAAACCTGAGAGTTGCCATTATTAGCCAATTGTCTTGGATAAGTTGCTTTCCCTTCCTGTTCTTCAGTCTTCTGGGTTGTAATGGAGATAATGGGCATGGTGATAGCAGCTTCCTCAGTGTCTGACAACTAGAAAGAGACAAGTACAGTGTCTGGCACAGACTGGGAGCCAAAACAGCGTACATTTCACCAGAGGCTCTATTTTGAACTCAAATGACAGAAACAGAGGTCAATGATGAAGAGGAAACATATTCAGTTTGAAGCAGTGTCTGTGTCTCTCATGTTTAGGATGTCATCCTCTGTTCAAAATGAAGCTAACAGAAGCTTAGTCAACATCAGGCCCCTTGGTTCAAAGGACAAAATAAAGTTACATTCAATGCAAGAGGTCGGGACATTTTTCTTCATATTTAAATTTGTTATTTAAAAAAAAATTCAATTAGAAGGTATAGCTCTTTTGGAATGCAGTAAATTTTGATTTATGAAAGAGTTTTCTTTTGTGAGGTAAACAAAAAGTTCCTCAAAATCTCCTTGTATTCTTTGCGTTTATCATAGAGATGAGGCAGAATGGAGGTACCCTAATGGCTATGATGATAAAAAGGCTTTCTTTAAGATTTTAGGGTAAATGTTGAAGAGTGGGAAGAATCAAAATTTTAAGAAAAAAATGTTTTTAGATAACAAGTGAACTCTCATTCTTTCGTATTCAAATTCAAACCCAGCAAACCTGTAAACTGAAAATACATAGCTATCAAATGAGATCGGAAATGAGTATGTTTCAATGCTGATAGTTAAGCAGACATTGACCTTACTGCTCAACTGAATAGCAGGAGGTGTGTTGAGCTGTGTTTCTCAATCTGAGACCCTCAGGAGTACGCCTCATCCACAAACACTATATTTTACACAAGGTTAAGTAGTTTAATATGATATTTTTAGATAAAAAGGTATTTGCTAAACTTCAATATTCACTCCTGAATTATAAAAGAACAAATAGTATAAGAGTACAATTCTCTAATCACAGAGTTTACACATATGTCTACATGCACAGCTCTATCTATCTAAATCTAAACAAATCTGTCTGTAAAGAAATAATTAGGATCCAACTCAATGGTGAATCACTAGAAAAATGCCCCAAAATGTAGAAACAAGGCAAAGACTCAGAAAGCACTAGCAAAATCGATTGCATAGGAACATAAGAGTTAAAATTATTGGAAAAGATGTGGCAAAGCTATCATCGTTTGTAGATCAAATTACAATGGGTGTCTTAAAAATCAAAGGAAATCAACCGAAAAATTATTAGAACAAATTAGAGAATAAGTAAGTTAATATTTTACAAAATAAAAATATTTTTTTATATATAAAAACTAAAAAAATATTACTATAAAGAATGATTTCAGTCACAGCATCCCTGGAAAAAAAAATCAGTTTCTTTAGACTAAACTTAACAAGAACTACACAAAATTAATATGAACTATTCAGCTCCACTGAGGAAACAAAATGAAACTTACTAAAAAGACGGATATACTATGTATTTTAATAGAAAGATCCAATATTGTTAAGGACACTAATTCTTTCTCAGTAAATACATATATTACAAAGATAATATTTTGGATTTGAAAAATTAATTTTGAAGTTCATTTGGAAGACTATGAATACGTGAATAATCAGAAACATTAAATAGTAGTAATGAAAACAGACTTACCCTACAAGATATTTAAACATAAGTTGCAAAACTATAATAATAAAACAGCATAACGCTGAAACAAAAATATATAGTCAATGAAACAAAGAGTAAGGAATTATATTTGAAATATATTTGAAAAGTCAGTATATGCAAAAGGTGGCATTTTAATTCAGTTAGAAAAATATTAATGATTGGCTAGACATTTAGTGGGAAAAGCTGCACACTACTTGACTTGCTCAAATAAAATAAGTTCCAAATGAATTAAGAATTAAAATTCAAGAACAAATAATATACTAGAAGAAAATTCAATAATTTTATAATAAGAGGTGAAAAGCATTTTCTATGAATAAAACTAGAAATCATGCAAGAAGTGAACAGTCTATTTGTATACGTTTAAAAAATAATAGTAGAACAAGCAAATAAACAATACACAGACACACACAAAGGCAGTTGCTAAACTGGAGAAAATATTAGACTCGTATAATAGATGATGGATTAAAAGTAGTAGTAAATAAACAGCTCTTATTAATCAATAAGGAAAAGAGGTGAATGTCAATAGAAAATTAGGCAATGAATATAATACAAACTAAAAACAGCTACTAAATACTAAAAAATATGACCAACTTCACTAGTAAGCAAAGAAATGCAAATTAAATAACAGAGGTATATCATTTTTGCTTGTCGGATTGACAAAGCTCAATAATTATTTTTACCCAGAATTAACATGGGTAGAAGGAACTGATAGAAGGAGCATAAACTGGTATAATCTTCAAGATGTTCAGGTATAAAAACCAGGAGGTTAATTGGTATATTAAATTTAAATATATCTAAGTTCAATATTTTCATCCCTTTGAGCCTTTTTTATAATTTTTAAAAACTACCTTAGGGGGCTGGCCTGGTGGTGCAGTGGTTAAGTTCGCATGTTCCACTTCTACAGCCCGGGGTTTGCCAGTTTGGATCCCGGGTGCGGACATGCACACTGCTTGTCAAGCCATGCTGTGGCAGGCATCCCATATATAAAGTAGAGGAAGATGGGCACGGGTGTTAACTCAGGGCCAGTCTTCCTCAGGAAAAAAAAAAAAAAAGAGGAGGATTGGTGGCAGATGTTAGCTCAGGAGTAATCTTCCGCAAAAAATAAAAAAATAAAATAAAAGTACTTTATTGAGGTGGGATTGACATACAAAAGGCTGTACATAGTTAATGTATACAACTTCATGAGTCTGGAGATAAGGATACATCTGTAAAACCATCACCATAATCTATGCTGTAAACATATCCAACACCTCCAAATCTTATGAATCCTTTTTTTTCTAGAGATGTATAATATGGAAATAATTTAACTAATATACGTAGACGTTTGGTACAGATTCATCTGGCTTCAGTCTGTTCTTTTAATATTTTTATCTTCTTAAGGTGGAACCATAGATCATTGATTTTGGACTTTTCTTCTTCTATAATAGCAGCTTTTAAAACTTACAAATATCCCCCATGCATTGCTTAACTGCATTCCACAAATTTTAATATATATTTAAAAAATAATCATTCAGTCAAAAGGTTTTTCTAATTTACTGTGCGCTTCCTTTTTTCACTCATGGGTGGTTTAGGATTGAGTTAGATTATTTCCAAGTATTGAGATCTTTTCTAGAATCTTACGGTTTTTTAAAATTTCTATTTAATTGTGTTGTGATCAGAGAACAGATTCTGCAAAATTTCAGTCTTTTGAAATCTCCCGAGATTGTTTCACAGACCAGCATACAATCAATCTTGGTGACCATTCCATGTGCACTTGAAAAAGATGTGCATTTAGGTGGCCCAGTGTTTCGTTGGTTCGAATCCTGGGCGCGGACATGGCGCTGCTCATCAAACCACGCTGAGGCAGCGTCCCACATGCCACAACTAGAAGGACCCACAACTAAGAATATACAACTATGTACCGGGGGGCTTTGGGGAGAAAAAGGAAAAAAATAAAATCTAAAAAAATAAAAGACGTGCATTTGCTGTTTTTGGGTGTAGTGGTCTGTAAAAGTCATTAAGAATAACATGGTTGGTTGTGTTGTTCAGATTTTCCAAATCCTTATTTTTCAAAAGTTATTCTGTCAATTGCTGAGAGATGTCTGTAAAATTCTTCAGCTATGAATGTAAATTTGTCTTTATCTCCCTAAGTGTTGTAGGTTTTTGTTTCGTGTATTTTGAAGCTCTGATATTAAGTACATGTTTGATTTCTGATGTATCAATCTTGTGAAATGTGAAACAAAACAGGGTCACTTATGTCTAAGAGCTTTAACATGGAGCTGGGAAGCCATTAAGGAAATGGGCCTTGTGCAGGTCCTCATTGTCCTCATCGGGCAGAATGCGAACTTTTGAACTGAGTAATGCTGAAAGAAACCTGCAGCTCACCACAGGGAAGGACTTCTGCCTTCTTCTAGGTATAGTTTTAGCAGTCAATTATGTTTACCCAAGATTACCTTTCTGCAGACAATTTCAATTAACATTCTTTGTAATGTAAACCTCCCTTTTTTACCTTTAAAAACCCCTGCCTCTTATTCCCTAGTGGGACAGTATTTGGGTTGCTACCTGACTCTGTGTACCTCCAACTGCAATTCTTTGATCCCAAAATAAATGTCTCTCTACCTCTCATTTTGACTCTGTTTTAGGTTAATCTTTGATCATTAGAAAGAGTCCATCTTTGTCTCTAGTAATACTTCTTGTCTTGAAGTCATTTTAAATGATTAATATAGTCACTCTAGCTTTCTTAAGCTTCATGTTTTCATGGTATTTCTTTTTCCATGCTTTCACTTTCAACATATTTGTGTCTTTGTAGTTAAAGAGCTTCTCCTATAGACAGTACATGGCTAGTTCTTGCTTTTGATTCAGTTGGATGATCTCTGCAATCTCTGCCTTTTGTTAGATTGCTCTATTTAAACCAAATATAATTACTAACATGATTGCATTTAGGGAGGCCATTTTGCTATTTGTTGCTTGAATTTTTTTGTTCCTGTCTTGTCTTATTCTGTTTTAATTAATTAGTGTTTAGTATTGCAATTTCAATTCTTCTTTTGACTTTCTCTATATATTTATTTACATTATTTTTATTTGTTGCCCCAGGGATTACAGTACACATCTTTAATTGATCACAATCTACTTAGTTATTATTGAATTGCTTCAGGTAAAATATCTAGTAGCCTTGCAACAGTATAGTTCCATTTACAACTCTCCCACCACCCCCATCCTTGGTGGAGAGAGATACAGTGAGTTCTAGGCAAAGAAAGCAGTGTGTGCAAAGCCATGGAAACAACGGAGAACACTCTGTGATTGGAGAATTAAAGCAGTCCAGAATGCTTAGAGAGACATGCAAAGAAAACAGGCTGAAGAGGTAATTAGGCGAATGATTTACAAAGGGCTTGCAAACTGCAATAAGCTGTTTGTACTTTATCCTGAGGGCAATGGCAGGCCATTAAAGTGTTTTATGCAAAAGACTGATATGATCAGATTTACATTTGGGGAAGATTAATCCTTCTGCAGTGTGAAAAATAGATTTACAGGAGGGAAGAACTTGAAGCTGGAAACTCAGGAAGCTGTTGCTTTCATTCAAGCCAGAATAACAGTGGTCTCCATCAGGGTCATAGGCGTAGGCTTGGGTAAACAGGCTCCAGAGGTGTTTTGAAGCAGAACAGAAAGGTTTTAGTTATGGATTGACTGTGAGGGGTGTAGGAGAGGAAGAGACACAGATGATTTTCAGCCCTCTGTCAACTGGATGGGACCTGGTGTCAATCACTGAGATGGCAAGCTTAAGAGCAGTAACAGGATGAGGAATTCCTGGTTCCCTCAAATGTGTCCATCACTGGGCCATGACGTGTGGGTTTCCTGGGCAGATTGATGATTTCCTACTCCTTGAAAGTAATATTCTTCAAATACTTTTTAGTATTTCTTTGATAGAGTAGGGAATATGTATTTTCTACTACAATTATGACTCTATGTTCATGATAAAAGTTTTATTACACACTCTATACTTTTCACTTTATTTTGAATTGATGGTAAAGAGTGACATTTTTTAAATAAATTCCACAGGAAAGTACAGTCTTCTCTGGCAGAGTTTCTTCAGTCTACATATCGCCAGTTAGATAAGGAGGTAAGTGGCGTCCCATTTCTGATTTATTTCAGTGATGGTTTAGGAAAAAGTTATTTTATTACTTGGATCCCTTAATCTGGTTCTGGGTATGTCTGACATGGAAATGACAGTATCTAACTCAATCATGGCTGCAACTTAACCAGAAAGGAGCTCAATTAAGGTAGATTGTATCTAGTATTTTTTTTCTTAAAAATTGGTTATTTGGTTCCAGTCAAAGTAAAGGATCATCACAAAGAAGGATGGATAAACCCTCTGCGAGCAGGCAGCAGACCAGCTCCCTTCAGATCTGGAATACCTCTCTCATTCTAATGCTGTCTTTCAGCTGGGTAGAAGTAGATAATTTTGGGCCCTATCTCATCACAGATCTTTG